AAAAAAAAAAAAATGAATGATATTGATTAAAATAGGAAATGTTTGTACGGTTAACAAAGTGAAAATGTTGAGGAAAACAACAAGAAAATAATGAACTAATGCATTTAGATGGGATGATGTGAAGTCATCAATCGCTCATTGTTGTCAAGTTTTAGTGAAGTTTGAAGTGTTAAAAGGCTTCACGTCTTTGAATTAGTACAAGCATAAATAGTAGTAGCAATTATAATAGCTTGACCAAAGAAATACTTATATATGTGCTTATTTTAATCAACAAACTATATTCCAATCAATGTAAATTTCTCTTAATGAGTAATGCTCACCTACCTACGGTGGACACATGTTAATATACCCACCGCTTATGTGGCATGCACATATCGGTGATGTATTTTTTTGAACATATTCACATCACAAATGTGTATGCCACATAAGCGGTGAGTATATTAACATGTGTCCACCGTAAGTAGGTGAGCATTACTGTTCCTGTAATACGAGCAATGTAGCTTGACTATAGGACATAATCTATAAATCTTTTCTAATCATTCTTATTTAAATTTCCATATTTGTTTAAAGAAGTAATAATCCATATACCCTTTCAACTAAGGGTAAATAATTTTTTCCAACCTGTACTATACGTGCTTTTAGGATTTTCAACCTAAATTATTTTTTGTTGTAAAATGCAACCTAAACTACATATATACAATTATTTGCACGCTCGAATACTTTTTGACCGTTCGATCGTGTGCAAAAAAGAACACGTGTATGGTTAAGATGTGGTCGAGCGTGCAAATAGTGACTGTATATGTAGTTCAGGTTGCATTTTACAACAAAAAATACTTTAGGTTGAAGATCCCAAAAACACGTATAGTAGAGGTTGGAAAAAATTGTTTACCCTTCAACTTTTATAGTTTAATAATTCAAAGTGTTCACCATCAAACATTTCTAAGCCTTTTTTGGTGGGAACAAAATTCCGCACTTCGAGGATCTTCTTCTTCTCCATAATATCTCTATTTATCACCAAAAAAATAAAAAAATAAAAAATTACACAATAAAAATGACATCTTTATCTGCAAAATCCATTCTTTCTCCCTTCTTCACAAACCCAGAAAAAATCCCCAACACCAAATCAAACCCTTTTCACCTAAACCTCAAAAAACACATCTCCCACAAAAACCCACAAAAAATTTCAAGCATTTTCTTCAGTCCCACATCGAAAAGCCCGAGCCCGAAAGCCCCCCCACTTTCTTGCCTCACAATAAACCAACCCTTCACGGCACAGCCCTCGAGCGTCTCGCAAAAGGTCCAAAGTTTGGATTTTGAGTTCAAATCCCTCACTAAACCCGTCGATAAGGTCAAGAGATTGCTGCACTACGCCGCGATTTTGCCCCCATTTGACGAGTCTTCAAGAACCCTAGAAAATCGGGTTTCGGGCTGTACGGCCCGGGTCTGGCTCGAGGCGAAGATGGACGAAAGTGGGGCCATGAGGTT